AATTCAATGTTGTATGGTAGAAAGTTTATAACTTTAGAGGATGTTAAGGCTCTTTTAAATTCTACCGAGTTGAGACATAAACTGAATGGTAAAGCCGTTGATAGTCGAGTCGATAGTTTGCCAGTAAGGACAAGACAAAAGGATAAAGAGGGTTGTAAAGGAAGATTTAAATTTCGTTCTAAGTCTAAAACACTCCTGGATAAGAAAAAAAACATTGAGTGCTACTATCGTCACAAGAAAAGACATTATAAATCAGATTGTCCTACTTTAAAGAAGAAAGAGAAACCACGGGGTCAAAGTTTTGAGTCCGCTAATGTGGCGAAGGCTATTGATGTTGATGCTGCTGAAAGTGTTCTTGTTGTATGTCCTCTAGATGATCATTATGATCAATAATGGATTTTAAAAATAGGTGCTTCCTATTATATGTGTCTAAATAAATAGTGGTTTACCACTTATGAACCCGTAAGTGGTGGCTTTGTTATGATGGACAATAATTCAGCTTGTGAGATAACTAGTATTGGCACAATTCATATCAAGTGTTATGATTTGGTTGTGATGACTTTAATGAAAGTAAGACATATATCGGATTTGAAAAAGAATCTAATTTCTTTAAGCCATCTAGATTCGAGAGGTTATAGCTACTCCGGTAAAAGTGGGATTCTTAAGGTTTCTAAGGGTTCCTCCGTTGTAATAAAAGCAACTCAAATTAATCGTCTCTATATGTTACAAGATAGTACACTAACGGCTCTACAAGTATGATTACTTTCTACTCGAAAAGGAAAGGACTCAATTATGGCATATGTGTCTAAGCCATATGAATAAGAGATGTGTGACTACTCCGAGTAAATGTGGTTTGCTTTGGATGATCAAACGACATCACTTGATTTCTATGAGCATTGTGTCTTAAGAAAGCAAACTAGAATGCGATTCTCTATTGGCACTAATTCTACAAATAACACACTTGATTACATTCATTCAGATTTATGGGGACTAGTTCAGCTCCATCCAAAATTGGTGTACTTTATTTTTTGACATTTATTAATGATTACTTCTAGGAAGGTTTGAATCTATTTTCTCAAACATAAGAGTGATCTTTTCGAAACCTTCAAACAATGGAAAGTTCTAGTAGAAAATCAAACAAGAAAGAAGGTTAAACGTCTTTGAATAGATAATGGCTTGGAATTCTATGGTGGAAACTTTAATAAGTTTTATACAAACTCTAGGATTGTTCGACATCGCACAGTTAGACACACTCCTTAGCAAAATGGGATGGCAGAGCGTATGAATAGGACTTTGAGGGAGAGAGCTAGATGTATACTCTCTAATTTAGGTTTGGAGAAGGATTTCTAGGTCGAAGCAATTAACACGACTTGTCATCTTGTTAACCATTCTCCCTTTACTTCCATTGATCGTAAGACTCAAAATGAGATAAGTCGGTAAACCCAGTGATTATTCAAATTTAAAATTATTTGGATGCCCTACTTATTATCATGTTAAAGATAGTAAACTTGAACCTAAAGCAAAAAAAATGCTTATTTGTTGGCTATGCTCGATGGGATGAAAGGTTATTGTCTATGGTGCCTCGAGTCCAATTCATCTAAATTCATTATTAGTAGAGATGTTACTTTTAATGAGAAATATATGCTTGATCAAGGAAAAGTTGTTTATGAGTTTACAGGAAATAGTGAGAAAGTCATGGATAAAGTGGAGCTTCGAGTGAAGTTTAAAAGAGAGACTCTTTAAAAACCATCCCCGCATGTATCCCTTACGATCGCGGACGTGCAACAAGATTCAAATATGAATAAAAATGTCACAAAATCTGAACAACCTTACTACGGAGCTATTGAGCGAGGGAGGAGATGGATAAGACCTCCCCAAAGATATGCTTCGCCGATCTAAGTAGCCTATGCCCTCACCGAAGCCGAGACAATGGGTATTTATGAGCTTTCTACCTATATAGAGGCGATGATTTGTGAAGAGTCTAATCGGTGGTACGTTGCAATGATAGAAGAACTCGAGTCACCGTACAAAAACCGGACTTAGGATTTGATGAAATTACTTAAAGGTAATAGAATTATTGGATGCAAATGGGTCTATAAGAAGAAAGCGAAATACCGTGTGTTGAAAATACTAGATTCAAGGCATGATTGGTGACCGAGGGTTATAGTCGAAGGAGAGAATTGATTACAATGAAGTATTTTCTCTCGGTTGTGAAACATACCACTATTCGTGTGTTGCTTGTTATGGTGACTTAATTTAATTTGGAGCTTGAGCAACTAGATGCGAAAACAACTTTTCTATATAGAGAGCTTGAAGAGGTTATTTATATGTCTTAACTAGAGGGATACCTTATGGAAAGAAAAGAGGACAATGTTTGCGGATTGAAGAGATCTTTATATGGCCTAAAACAAACACCAAGGAAGTGGTATAAGAGGTTTGATATTTTTATGCTTAATCATGGTTATTCAAGATCTACTTATGATAGTTGTGTGTATTTCAGGTGACTTACGGATATATCCTTTATATATCCGTTATTGTATATGGATGACATGCTTATTGTTGCTAAAAACGTGTCGAAATTCAAGTGTCGAAGAAACAACTCGAGTGATGAGTTTGAGATGAAAGATTTTAGAGCGTCGAATAAGATTTTAGGTATGGAGATTCAAAGAGACGGGAAGGTTGAAAGATTATATCTTTCACATAAAGAATATATTGAGAAAGTGTTTGAGCGCTTTGGTATACGAAGGCCAAACCCGTCAATACTCCATTGGTCGCTCACTTTAGACTTTTGGCTTCTCGATCACCTCGGAATAAAGAAGAAGAGAAGAAAAATGTCATAAGTTTCATATTCGAGTGCGATAGGCAGTATAATGTATGATATGATCCGCATTCGTCCGGACATTGCCCAAGCACTCGGTGTTATGGGCGGATATATGGCTCATCCAAGAAAGGTACATTGACAAGCGATGAAGTGGATTCTCAAGTATCTTAAAGGTACCATAGACTTGGATTTAGTCTTTGAAAGGGGTAGTGCTTCTAAAACTTTCATTGTAGACTTTGTGGATTCCGACTACGCAAGTGATCTCGATAAAAAGAGATCATTGACGGGATATATTTTTACACTTTTAGGTTCTGCTATTAGTTGGAGATCAACATTACGAGTCGACAATTGTTTTATCAACTACCGAAGCGTAATATATGGCAGCAATGAAGCCGTGAAGGAGGCTATTTAGTTAAGAAATCTCGTAGAGGACCTTGGTCTTCAATAAGAAGAAAATTTAGTTGTCTTTTGTGACAACCGAGTGTTATGCACTTAACTAAAAATCAAACACATTACGAGAGGACCAAGCATATTAATATCATGTATCATTTCATTCGTGAAGCGAGCTTCGACAAGAAGATTGTAGTGAAGAAAGTTCACACTAAAGACAATCCAATCGATGTGTTAACTAAACTCGTTACGACGAAACAAGTTCACGCATTATTTGGACTTGAGTGGTGTTAAGAAAATCAAAGTTTGTTGCTGAAAATGGAGGCTCTATCGTGTGAAGAAGAGAGACACGACCGTATGAGTTTTCTTCTCTCTCCGTGCTTCATGCTTCTACTTGTGTGAAGCACTTGTCTTCGTGCCCATATGCCTTGAGCATTTGTTTATGCATGTTGGGGCTTTGTTGGAGAGAAGGAATTTGTTAGTCCTATTGTTGAAGTCAATATTTTCTCTCTTTACATCTCTTGTTTCTTACACCGAGTTAGTTCACATAAGCTTAGAGGTGTGTTTTGAGGAATTATTTGACATTCTTGAAAGTTTACGTAATTCAAGCCGGGGTGGAGATTTGTTGTGTGTGACTTGAATTTTATAGGCCGATAATATATTTAGCCCATTGGGTTTTTTTCCTTTATAGGTACGAGGTATTTAAACCTCATTAAGTCTCTATTTAAGAAATAGAGTGAAAGGCAGAGATTTTGTATTGAGCTTTCGTGGTTTTTGTATTCTCCTATTATCAAGCTAATAAAACTTCCCTCTCACCCGTGGAGTCGACAATTTGTCAAACCACGTAAATTTCGTGTGTTGATAATTTGTTTAGTTTTAATTTTTGATTATTACTTGTCATTATTTGTTTTGTTTTCGTTGTTTTTCATTACAATATTTTAAATTTTTTTTCTAAATTGAGAGGTTTCAATTAACATCCCGGTTATAAGATGGCCTCACCATTGAAAATGAATCAATATGAACCTGCTATTTTTACGGGAAGAAAAAAAAAAGAGAATAAACACTGATTTATATTATCCTCGCTGCTGTAGTTATTTGCATACCAGTTACCACATCATTATCATTTATCACATCGTGTTCTGTTTAGTCATACAGGCATGACGCAGAGAGATTATTAGAGACCACATCTCTCCTCTACTAATATGGTAAAAAAAAAGAAAAAAAAGACACAGATAGTCATCAGACAGTAGGAGTGCAATACACCAGAATTACCAGACAATTTCTCATGACAAATTGTCCTAGACACAAGCCCAGCCTTCACAAGGCTCTGATTCCTACTACAAGCCTAGGCCTAATAGAAACGGGTCCTGCAACGACCATCTACCTTAGGAGAATCATCAGTCTGTTTCTCGTCGAAGTTAAGATAGGCGACTATCCTTTGTCAACAACCTCACCAACTTCCCTCTCATATCTCTCTCCCTATTGGCTCCCATCTATCTTCCCATCGGATAAGCCCTCAACTGCTATCCTCTCTCTCTCCAATTTCACGGCTTCTTCGCTTTCAAGGTACCATCTTTGTCTTTCTTGCTAATTTTATGTTTCCATCTCGTATTATTTGCTCTGTTTGGTTGCTCAGCTAGAAATAAATCGAATTACAAAAAAATCGCTGAAAGGCTCATCGTTTTTTAGGCGACCCTCTATCCTATAACAAATTACACTTGCCATCCGTCACTGCAATTGATTTTTTCCTTTTTAATGTGATTATTTATTTACTTTTTACGATACAGTCATGGCTTCGTCAATCTTCAATGCTCCGTGTACGGTTCCTGCAGTGAAAGGCAAAAACTATTTTGGTCTGAAACCAACTGTTCCTAGTAAATTGAGGTTTAATGTTGCTAAAAAAACCTCAATTGAAGGATGTCCAAAGGTTGTTTTTATTGTGAGAGCCTGCGAAAAGAAGGATGGTCCGATAAAGAAGTTGGGGTTAAGTGATGCAGAATGTGAAGCTGCTGTTGCGGCAGGCAACGTGCCTAAGGCTCCACCAGTGCCGCCCAAGCCTGCCGCACCCGCTGGGACTCCTGTCGTCCCTTCTCTCGTGAGTTCTTCAACTTGATTCAAACTGAATTGAAGCATTTGGCATTTTGTATCCAATTCCTTGTTTCAACTGGTTGTTTATCAATGTCAAATATTTGGATTTTCTTATTTATTAAGGAAAGTACTTCTGATTATCTGTGTAATTATGGTGTATCAACTATGTGGTACTCATTGTACCAGCAGCTTTATTCCCTAATTTGATTGTTTGTCAATGCTGGTTTTTGTCAGCCGCTTAGTCGGCGTCCACGTCGTAATCGCAAGTCACCTGCCATGAGAGCATCATTCCAAGAAACTAGTATATCAGCTGCCAATTTTGTCTATCCACTCTTTATTCATGAAGGTGGGTGATGATCATGTGGGTTTTTTTGTAGCTTGATATATAATCTAGTTGTCTTCTTAGGAAATGTTATCTTTCTCAGTTTGCATCATATTTTTTGAGATTTGCAGGCCAGGAAGACACGCCTATTGGAGCAATGCCTGGATGTTATAGGCTTGGATGGAGACATGGACTTGTGGAAGAGGTGATTTAGCCCTGCCTAATTCTCCACTTCATTATCTTTTCTTGACTCAAATGATATTTGTAGTTAATTAAGGTCACTTTTTTTTTATTTTTTTTATTTTATTATTTTTTTTTTATGTATGTATCATATCCATTGCATTGCACTAACTTAAATTTCCTATAAATGCTGCGGAAATCCGCTAAAATGGGTTCTATTAAAAGAGTTCATAAAGTTTAGTCAAACAATGAAACCGATTATAAATTTATTAGTAAGAAGTTAAAACTGTTGTGGAAAGATCTAAGATTCTACATGGATTCCTTCAACTAAACACCCATGCCCAAAATTGTCTGTTGGTAGTTTTTTGTTTATACATTACAAGATTAATCTATATACCCGACTCTAGTGCTCTTTTAACATAAGCAGTCTAATGCAGGTAGCAAAGGCTCGTGATGTTGGTGTAAATAGTATTGTTCTCTTTCCCAAAGTTCCAGATGCTTTGAAGGTTTAGATTTTCTTCTGGTTTCTTTTTTTTTCTTTTTTGGGTTTGTGATTCAAGAACTCCTAGATTTCCTTTTCTGTCTAGAAAAGTATTATTTAATCGGTTTTTGCATTCCAGACTTCCACAGGAGATGAAGCATACAATGATAACGGTCTAGTTCCGAGAGCAATACGGCTGCTCAAGGACAAATACCCTGATCTTGTAAGTCAAAGTAACTAGTCGCTTTGTTTTTTACATCTGTCAGAAGACTCGCTTCTTCTGGTTAAAGCAATTGTGCTTTGAATATGGTATCCTTTTTTACTCTGTTCTATTTCCTTAGGTTATCTACACTGATGTTGCTCTGGATCCATATTCCTCTGATGGGCATGATGGCATTGTCCGAGAAGATGGTAAGAGACACATTTGATATTTTGGCTGTTGGTATTATATTCAAAAGAAAACAGTAACTACTAAGATCTTTTCAATACGATATGGCCATGATGACTCCAGACACCTGCCAAATTGCAGGATATGCATATTTGGTTAAATATTACTGAACGGCCGGTGATCCAAGCTTGCAATCAAATGCATTAAGATTCTCTTCATTTCAAACCATTAAGATATTCACCTTAGCCAATATCTAGTTGGTGTTTAAGCTGTTTCTTATAGGGTCAGCTTTCTTAGATGAACTGATCCTTTAGCGATGAAGAAGCTATCTTTTTCAGATGTCAAACAAAAAATTGGATTAATCCTGAAATGGTACTCCATCAAATTCGCAATCAGTACAATGTGAGTATTGGAATTGAAATTAGGTAAGCTTTCTTATGTCAAACAAAAAATTGGATAATTTCCTGGAAAGATACTCCATCAAATTCTCAGTTAGTACAATGTGAGTATTGGAATTGAAATTAGGTAAGCTTTCGGCACACATTATAGGACTTCCTTTGCTATTAGTCACATAACCTGTCTGATCAAGAAAGTATTTTGGATTTTTTATCAAAATATCTGTCTGGCCATGATTGTTCTATTTGTAATTTTACTTTGCATGAGCATCAAAGTTTGATGAACTCTACTTGAAAGAAGTAGCTATGCATGGGTTTCTGATAACTGCCCTCGATACTCTGCAGGAGTCATAATGAATGACGAGACAGTGTATCAATTATGTAAACAAGCTGTTTCTCAGGTAATTTTGAGTGGGTGTGTGCATAATTGACCAATCAATATGAAGTACTTCGATTGGAGTTTCTGAAGACATAGTGCCAATCCTGAGGTTTAAGAAAATTCATTTGGTCATGTTCCCCCACATTTCTTATGCATATCCTTCTCAATCCCGAGATGGGTGATTTCAGTCCTTGCAAAACTATTTTAACTCTGATTTTAATGCTTATATTAATTTGGGGTAAATGGTGCTTTGAGCTCTTTAAATAGCGATGCCTTGTTAATGATGGCACCTTAGATCCATGTAGATCACTGACAATTTAGATGCTTGTTGGATGTTTCTGATTTCCAGTGTCATTTATTTGTTCCTTGCACATGCATCGATGCTTTTTATGAATTGACCCATTTATACTCTTTGTGATGTTACTTACAAACAGGCCCGGGCTGGGGCAGATGTTGTTAGTCCAAGTGACATGATGGATGGTCGTGTGGGAGCCATAAGAGAAGCTCTTGATGCTGAAGGATTTCAGCATGTTTCAATCATGTCCTATACAGCAAAGTAATTCGACGATTTGATTCCTCTTTTAGTTTATTTGTTTATTTATTTTCACACACACACACATATTACCTCTTCTGCTTGTGCTATGGATTAAATTTCATTTTTCTATGTAACTCATGCATGAAGTGGAGATATATAGCTATATCTCATCAATTAGACGCCAATTACTTATTCGAGCTTTTATACTAGAGACCAACTCTGAGTTTGCTTTTGGGTTCAGCAAGGTTTAGTGAATCACAGAGAAAAAAGAATAAATGGGGGAACTTCCCCTCATTTTTCAATTTCCAAATGCTTAATTTCCCTTATGGCATGCAACTATGTATTTTCTTCACGTACCACATAGAGACACTTCCTGTTGCTTTATCCTGTGATCCATGTCTATTTCTGGCCTGTTTTATACCAACTGTGCGATAAAATGCAAATGGTGTTGGTTCTTCTGTCCACCTTGGTGCAATCCAATGTTAGTATTTTTTATGCGCCAATCCCTCTTATTTTCTAAACAGGTATGCCAGTTCATTCTATGGCCCATTTCGAGAGGCACTGGACTCAAACCCACGTTTTGGAGACAAAAAGACGTATGTGGTTTTTTTAGAAAAAAGATATTGTAGCAAATTTTATAATCACGCAGCTTTGATGCTCACTTTTGGATATTGTTTGGCTTGGTGAACGAAAGTTATCAGATGAACCTAGCAAATTACAGAGAAGCTCTGGTTGAGGCCCATGCAGACGAGTCTGAAGGAGCTGACATCCTTCTGGTTGGTATTGCTTTCTTTGGAACTTTGAAAGGGTTTCTATTAATGGGGAATTTTCTGTCATGCTGAAGTTACTTCTCCTGGGGTTGCAGGTGAAACCTGGTCTTCCTTATTTAGACATTATAAGGCTTCTCAGAGATAAATCTCCTCTGCCAATTGCTGCATATCAGGTATTGTCCATGATTATTTCACTTAATATGGTCTTGCACCAGATGTCTTGTCCAAATCTTTCGGTTTTGACTGAAATATTTCCCTCAATAACCTATATTAAGCCTTAAAAATTTAACCTCCAAAAATAAAATTAGGTCTTCCTCCTGGTCTTAAGTTTAAGTGATAAAGCCCATGATACCATATACCCCTGCCTGCTTGTAAAATCTAAAATTGAGCAGCAACTGAATATGTATTCGACTACCGTGATTAAAATTATATTTTGCAGTTACTTGTAGAATTTTATTGTTGCAAATGTAGCCAGATTCCCATCTGGTTGCCCCAAACTATAACTTTGGTTTAGCCCCCCAACATATGTATTCAATGTTGAAATCTCTCTTACTGTATTGTGCTGTATGGAAATTAAGTTTCTGTACAGGCAAAATAAAAAGTCCTACACTGTAAGTTGTAAGCAAGAGACAGGGTGTGTGGATGTACTTCACAAACTATTGTTTCTTTTGATATTTCTTAATAGTATGTCCACATACAATGTTTTACATTTCCTTTGTGTCGATTTATTTTTTAAGTTTATGAATGCAGGTTTCTGGTGAATACTCGATGATCAAGGCTGGTGGGGTTCTCAAAATGATTGATGAAGAAAGGGTTATGATGGAGTCCCTGATGTGTCTGCGACGGGCTGGTGCTGACATTATCCTAACATATTTCGCTCTACAAGCTGCAAGATGTTTATGTGGTGAGAAGAGGTGAGACCATTCCTATAATTTAGGTATTGTTAGTCGAGCAAAACCTTTAGAGAACTTTGCTGTACTTCTTTTTCTGTAATTATGTGACGTTAGCGTAAATTTGGAATCTGAACTGATGTGCTTAGCACACCATCTTTTACTCTGTTGTTGTCCATGTCAAAAAGATGGAACAAATGGTGCATTTAAATAAAATGCATACCTTGCTATGTGAATAATACACAGAAGAAATGTGCTATAGTCTTGCACAGCATTTTTCAGTACTCAAGTCCACATGTGGGGTTATGGATGTACCCGCGTTCATGTGTTTGTGGAGTGCCATCCATACTCCAGGAATGCATGGGTATTAACCACAAACTTTTTTCTGTTCAATATGTGATGTTGTCTTAAGAGTTTTGTTCTCTATTGACTTGACTGGATATGGTCTTAACACTTAAATGCTATTATGGGGTCCGCTCTGACTGAGTGCCTGCCCACCACCCCTCCCTTCCCCAGTCAGATCTGGATACTTATTGAAAGTTTTTTTTATTAAAATTTGTTTCCAAATGATGTTGCTTGCTCATCAGGAGACATTTTTCAAATCATTGTAGGTATTATTGAATTTATACACACTTATCGCCACCCCATTTTGTTAAAAAAATCTAGAAAGAGAGACCTGAGTCACCTGACCGAGTTGCAGCATGTCAGCTTCTGAACGAGTTGGACTAAGTTGGGATTTGGGATTATATAGAAGAGCTAAGTCAAATAAGTTGGCAAGGAGAGGGTCTATGAGGGAAAATACTTTCCTTTTTCTTTTTTTGTTTTTTTAAATAATTGAATTCCATCGGGTCTAGACCTAGGCTGGAAAAAGCATCCCTTCCTTCTTACGGAAGTTTTCCGCTTCCCGTCTTTAATGGAATGTAAAACTTGTAAAAACCCTCAAGTTGTTTCGAATTCGAAACATTAGACATGACACGTTTCTAGTATACTAGTTTTCTTTTCTAATACGTATGCTGCATGTGAATTATTCAAGTTTTGTTAAACATTATGGCTATATATCTATGAATTATATTCAAAATATTATAGGAAAATTAACATTCACATCTTAAAATATTTAAAAAATAAAGCATTCAAGTGTCTTTTATTTCAATAGTTAAATAGTATTATAGAAATGTAGAAGCTTTTTTTCTAAATTATAAAGAGAGTCGAGTAATGTAGTCTTGTTTTTATTGTTTGATTATAAAAATTGAAAGTCATAATCTATAAATATATGAATAAAAAAAGAAAAGCGTTTCTCAATGATGTTTTGATGTACACGTAAAAAGAAAAGTTCTTGTGGTTTGGAAAAAGAAAGAGTGATATAGGAAAAGTTTATTAAAAATGTTATATATGAAACACAAGATTGGATACTGAGCGAGAAAAGGAAAATAAATATAGGAAAATAATAAATATAGGAAAATAGTAGAATAAGGAAAAAAATAAAATAGAAAACATGGATTCAAAAGGTTATATTGAAACTATAGGAAACATAGATGTATTAAATAAGAGTATAATGGTCATTTAAATAGTTTAAGAGTATTATAGTTTTTTAAAAGTATTTAAAGATATTTTAGTCATTAAAAGTTTATTTTATAGAATTCGTGTTTTTATGTATTTATGAATTATGAATAGACAGGAGTTAAGATATTTATAATCTAATTTGCAGAGTCTGGCAATCACATTATAAATATTTTTCTGCTTAAATTAAATAGTGACTTTTTTAAAACAAAAATAATATCCAAATATATGTATAGCCAGGTGAGGGGACACACTGGTTAAAAGCATCACTTAATTCATGCAGACGCAGTACTACTAACGAATTAAATTCAGATCAGATTATAATAGATTTAAATATAATTTATTTCGTGAAACGAATCATATTGAATCTTATGTATTTGGATCAGATTTTGAAAATGTGAAATTAGATTCCAATGCCAACGGATTCGGATCGAATTCAAAATTTCATCATATTTATCATTTAATTTTTACAGAATATTTCAATTATGATATTTCATATACTATTTGAATATAAAATGTATTTCAACCACTACATGTATAATAAAATATATTAAAATAATGTTTTATTTATCCATTTTGTAAAAAATTCAAAATGTCACACAATTTAAAAGTATAAAATCAAATAATGATAATAAAAATTTATCTTGAACTAGGTAGAAAGTATGATAAAATAAAAAATAACAATAAATAATCTTTATTTTTTATCCACGTGATAAAAAAAATAGAGAGATGACAAATATAATAATATCAATTCTTGAAAAGATATATAAGCCAATTTATGTTTTTTTTTTTACAAAATTGAATTAAGAAAATGATAAAAAACTTATGTGATTTTGTTAAAAATACGAGTTGTCACTATTGAAGTATATGCATTATTTGAATTTTATAATAAATAAACTCTAAATTTCTACCCAGTTTCATTGCATATTTAAAATTTTAATATTTTTTTAAAAATATATATTTATTATCAAAATACTATTTTTAATTTTGGATCGGATTATTATTATATGAGATTAGGTGTATCCGAATTTGATCCATTTAATAAATAGATTAATACTAGTCGGTTGCCCGAGCTATGCCGTGGGTTCGGTAGAACAAAATTATTTTAAAATTTTTTATTATAATATGTTATTTATTTAATTTTTTCTAATGTTTTTATAAATTTTCTTTCTTAAAAAACACAAATCATTCTTCTTTATGGACTGATTTCAAAATTAAAAATTATAATAATTTTAACTAAAATATTAATCAAGAATTGAAAAAAAAATTAAAAATATAATTTTCATAATATTGTATTCCAAAAAATAAAGTTATAATTAATGGACAGAATTTTATAAAAATTAACAAATGAAAAAAAGTTTCTTATTTAATGCCGATGAGAAGATTAATTTTTGAAGTTATTCATGCAATGCTATAGATAAATAGAATAAAATCATTTCAAAATTTTATAATTTTTTATGTAATTATTACTATTTTTTTATGTGTTTTTCATAAAATTTCTACTTAAAAAAATATGATTTATTCTTGGTTATTCGGGGATTCTTAAATAAAAACTTATAATAATTTAAACCAAAAATATTAATTAAGAATTTAAAAAATAATTTTTTTTATAAGAATGTATGCAAAAATTAAAGTTACAATTAATATATAGACTTGCATAAAAATTAACGGATGAAAAAATAAAATTTTATTGTTATTCCATGTTAGTGAGAAGATTTTTTTTTTTTTTAAGTATATACATTTGATCTATATATATTTATTTACAAAAAAAAAATTAGCATAAAAAATAGTATTTGAATAATTGGTTAGTTCCTTTGAAAAATTATTTTAATTATTTTATTTCAAATAAATTGGTTCCGTAATGTTAAAAAATATTTATAGTAAATAATGTGTATTATGTTGGAAGATGTATAGTTAATTTTTAATAAAATCAATTATTCAATAATTTTTTTATATGTCTTGACCATACTTAGCGAACTAAGACAAATTATTTGAAATACACTTTTAACTTTTTAAAATAAAATAATTATATATTTATATCTATGAAACTATCATTTAAAAATTCTAAGAATTCATGATATATATTATACCAATTTATTTTTAAAAAATGAAAAAAAATCATGTTTTAAAATTTTATTCTAAAAATCAACTATAGAGAAAAATAAATTATATAATATCAGTAAATAAAATTTTATATAAAAATATTAATTGGATTAGAATTTTCATAAAAAAAGATGATAAATTCAAAGAATGAAATTTAAACAATAAGAGTAGTATAATGTGAAGTACATGTTAATTTTAAAATATAAAAAGATATATTATCTAATTACCAGTTTATGTGGAAAAAAGTTAATATAGATTTTTTAAAATTTTAACACCTAATTAAATAAAAAACGAACATAAATTGATGAAAAAAAGCAAAGGAAAATTTGATTTTTCAAAATTTTAACATCCAATTAAATAAATAAAAAAGAACATAGATTTATTGGAAAAAAAAAAGCAAAGGAAAAGACCAAAGAAAAAAAAAGATGTGTAGTGTATTAGTTAGGAGATTAAAATTTTTATTTTAAATTCTTAAGGATCAAAATAAAATGATTTAAAAATTATATATAAAAAAAAATGCTATGTTAATGAAAAATGTTCGACACAGTTCATTACCCTTCAAAAAGTTCAGTTTTTTTAGTTTAAAAAGCAAAGGAAAAAACCGAGGAAAAAAAACATGTGTAATGCATCGGTTAGAGGATTAGAATTTTTATTTAAAATTTTTTGGGATCAAAATGAAATAATTTAAAAATTACAAAAAAAATAAAATTAAGCTATAGTTCATTACTGTTCAAAAGGTCCAATTCTTTTAGTTTTATAGTAAACAGTAAATATTCAAATTATAATAGAATTCAATTAAAAAAAATTCAAATCTATTTAATTAAATCATATTCATATCGAAATCCAATCCAATCCACTTACAGCGCTACACGTAAGGCATACTAGACATCACTGGGATCTTATTGGTTTCACCAATACGAGCCTAACCAACATTCTCTTCCACTTCTTTCAGTCATCACCAGTCCTTTCGTTTTCATCCCTGGTTTTTTGCACCTCCAAAGCGGTTCCCTAGATATGAAATGAGGGAAATAGTACGGAAACTAATAACAAAGTAGCGCAAAAAAAATAAAAATAAAAGCATGCTTTCTGCATTTCAAATATATATATATATATATATATTAGATCCTCATGAGTGCAACTCCAACGCTTTGAACTGAAGATATAAAAGCGAATTACTATAGGTTGAAAGTGTTCCACAAAGTTTCTGCGCACAACTACATCCTTGAGTATGGATTCTCCCTCGATCCATACACTGGGAAACAGGAATTAATTCCCTCTATTTCCCCGCCTCCCCCACCCCATGTATGCTACAGATGAGAAAGCAGAAATCACATGGCAAATTTCTACATAATTCTTGCTCTGAGAGATATAACTTTTGCCTGGAGGGCTTATTGCTTCACTTCAACCATGCTCAATGAGATATCTTTCAGCAATAGTTGCATGAGTTGCAGCACCTATGGGGAGAACATCTTCATCTATCATGAAATATGGTGAATGGCCTGTGTGTATTGACCCCAAGGTCTCGTTCCTCACGCCTATGTAATAGAAAGCTGTAGGGACCACTTGGGTGTAAAACGAGAAGTCCTCGGCGCCCATCATTGGTGGTACCACCCTGAAGTTTGTCGGACCCAACAAATCAATCGCCACCTTTCTCACATGCTCGTACATTTGATCATCGTTCACGGTTGGGGGATAGATCGTGGACTCCTTTTCAAAGAAGTCTACTGTTGCTGAGCATCTGAAAACAGAAGCCTGTTCCACAATCACCTGTTTACATACAGACGCAAAAACTGTTAGATCAATTATTCACATTTGACAGGTGTTCAGCACAAAGGGTCCTATAACTATAAATTCTCCTTTAGGATTGTGTGGCTGGAGATATACCTCTATTGTCTCCACTTGTAAGCCATAAAACAAGGTGTTTCATTTTCATGCTTAGACTAGAAAGTTAGGAGATCATGCAAGATGGGTTCTTAATTTCCGAAGCAGAAGGTCAAGCGGGCCACTATAGCTACTAGCCCACAGGCAAGCGACCATGTAAAGACTTGAGTCATGATAGCCTATGCATCTATTGGTTCATTTCAGTACCGACTATACACGGTGAAAGTGGTGTTGAAATATCGAATTGTGAAAAAAGAGAATTGGAACAAACCTCTTCGATTCTTTGAAGAAGTTGATAAAAGCTTGCGTTGGAGAAAGCCCTGAAAGTGCCACAGAGTACAACTGTGTCTGGAATCATGTCCAGATTATTGCCTCCATCCATTGTGGTAACAGACACTACCTGTATAGCGAAAGTGAGAAATTCCGATTAGCGAAATTACAATTCTGAAGGAGGCGGACAGTTTTGGAAAGCTAAGTTTTCTGGCATTGACACCTGAGAGTCCAACGGATTTGCTTCACGAGACACAATGCTCTGCAAGCTGATTACAGCAGCAGAAGCAGCCAAAATGGGGTCAACAGAGCGGTGAGGGCTGCCAGCACGGCCCTTTTTGCCACTAATTACCGCTCTGAAGAAGCCACATCCAGCTAGCAAAGGACCAGGCCTTGAACCAATGATGGCGGTAGGATGCTCATGGGATACATGAACTGCAAATATAGCTTCCACGTCCTCTAGAGCCCCATCTCCTATCATCCGTTTTGCTCCATTCCCAGCTTCCTCTGCTGGCTGAAAGAGCAGTATTACAGTTCCCTGTAATTGCAACAGTGAAACTAGCAAGTTTAGAAATCCACCGTGGTATCATCAAAACATGAATAAAGATTTTCAGGTTAAAGTATAAATTAGAAAGAACTGGATAAACTTCCCATCGAGATAGAGCTAGGGTGCATTCACAGATATGGAAGATGATCGTCATTTTTTTCATCAGTCAACTTTACGTGATAAAAGGAGAATTAGCATATATGTCTACTATGTCAACCTGTAGAATTTCGTTTAGGTATGACCTGGTTTTATAAACCCATTAGTCCTTAAGGAACATCAAAGATTCATTCAATTAAGTTACTCAGGTGTCTGAAAAGCCACAAGCATTTGGAATTAACCATCACTAATCACTTCATTTGGAACTAATGAAGAACGGAAACCTAATTTAATTTCGCTACTAAACATTCTAGACAATAACTCTCTCTTCAAAGTGTCAAATCTTTAAGTATTTCACTTGGATTATATGGTTTAATCCTTACTTAAAGTGTGAGCCATGGGCAGAAGTTTGTTTCTGCGAAACACTAGTTCAATAACTCTTTTCATGTACTTTAATCATTTAACAAAGCCATTGTGGAAAACTAGATTCCTGGCCAATTCATTTCCTTAAGCAAAAGATTATGAGCTTAAAATCAGCTATCAGATAAGACAAAGTAAAAAATTAATCTAAGGTCCCAGAGTACTAAAATTAAGTTCTTCAGCATGTGAAAGAATAATAAAAGCTAACTGACATTCATTATAAAAAAGGCTTAATGTATACTAATAAGGGCCAAACACGCTTCTAAGATATAATATTGTTGGCCCAGAAAACAAGCCTATGATATATTTAACATCTATTTTACACGCATTTGATTATTACCTTAACTCCTCCCAAAATACATGTGAGGTTGCCTTAATACGTGACAAAGTCTTCAGTTAGCAGACAAATTCCATCTATATAGTTTGTTTGATAAGGAGGAATACCATGATTTTTCATTCAGTAAAATATATACGGTGAATGGGTAGGAAGATGGCCAATAAAAAAAAATTGCAATATGAACACCGTTAAAATATGTTGCCTACTGTAGCCTGTAGAAGTAGATTGGTTCTATTATGTGCTTCTCAAAACGGTGAATATAACATTTATAATGCTTGACAAATTGAAAGGCTAAAAGCATGAAGAAATTTAATTTGCAACGACAACATTGGCACCCTTATACAGATCCAAATCTTTTGTCTCTTGCCCATGCATGTATCAAATCAAGTAACAATCATAATTGAGTTTATAACGATCACATCTAAACAAAGCAAAGAATCTCAAAGGCCCATCACTGGCGCTTTTGTAAACAAATATTGTCCACAAAAATTTGATATCCCACTAAAAAGAGGTAGCATGATTTAGGCTTCCAAATTCCAACCCATACTAAAATGAACAAACAAAAATGCACATGAGAATAGAAGAAATTAATAAACCCATATTTGATTGATACACTCAAGGAGGTGACTGCCTCTAATGGGGATTCTACGGGCACTCACTTTCCTCGTATGTCAATACATTTGATTACAAGAGATGCCTAGAAATTAAAACCACCTCTGACGTGTTTGAAATGGAGTTGTGGTGATTTCGTCTTCTAGCCGACAATTGTCAATATAGAGTTAAACCTTTTTTTCTCAGGCATAACTGTGTGTAGGGTGTGAGAATTTCGTGCCTATATTCAATCCTCAATTAGTGGGTACAGATATCGGGAAAAGAAAGAAAGATTCCAAATGATGTTTATAGTGCCGTAGAATAGACCACAAATTCAAAAACCAGCGTGCCCAAAAACTGGAGTGGAGACAAACGGGTAAAAAAGATGACAGCAGTTGATGAAAATAACTAAGCAAAAGTGAAAAAAGCCCATACGGTTTACCGCCATTTACGGCTTAGAGAAACTTACACAAGCTCATCCCCTCCCCGTACGTTTTTTTGTAGAACAATGTTAGCCACTCAAAATTGAAGCCCAACAGAAAAATAGTACAAAGAGGCAAGCTATTCTACTCTTTTTGCCTACTTCCACATAGCATCATATTGCACCTAGTACACAACAAATATTATTCTCTCCAAAAACCCAATATACTCTACAAATTTATGAATAGACAAAAAAGCGCTTCAATAATTTCTTACTGGTAATGGTGATTTAAACCATAATTGTTAAGATTTATTTAAGTAAGAACTCAATTTTTGATATGGGACTTCTTTTGGAATTTACAAGATAAGAAAATTAACCTTCAAGAGATTTTCGCGGCTCTTCAAAATCTTGGCAGCACCCATCAGCATTGCGACATGAGCATCATGTCCACAAGCATGCATTTTGCCTGCGACTTTGCTTTTGTACTCCCACTCTACAGCTTCCTGAAACAAGCAATCCCGAGATTTAGATAATTGTCAAGCTAGGCTAGCTAATTTCTTACAATGAGACCCGAAAATAGTAAAGTGACTCCCGATCCCATAGGGACATTAATAATAGCCCTAATGTCAAACCATACAAAATATTTTTGTCACTGTGTTCTGACACCTTTTGCATTAAAATCTAAACTTTCATTTAATTTGTCTTATCTAAAATGTACTTTTAAATCTGACTCATCATATGTTCTAAATCCCACTCTGACTCATCATATATCCTAAATCTGACTCACATAAATTAATAATAAAATTTTATCTTTCATGTCATCAATAAAAAAGGATAAACAAAAAATAAAAGTTAGGAGTGCACATATTTTCAGTTCACATTTGCTTTTTTTCCTCCATAAAATAATTGAATTTGGATTAGGGCTTGATACTAAACAAGCAGCAATCTAGTAATCTCTATCACAAGTAATTTAAATCAGACATTTTTATGCTGTTAATTTAAATCTTAAAATCAAAAGAAGAAAACGGCTTATGACAACCACTCTACCCATGTAATTTTCCTTTTTTGAAAAAAATAATAATATAGAAAACCAAAAACAACAAATTAACCCCAGTTAAAAGCTGGTTTTCCTAAAGCCTCTAAGTTCCAAGTCATCCTTATCAAGTACAATAACAGAATCTTCAAGAAAAATACACATGCATGCATATGATAACACACATACATAAATACATAAATAAAATAAAATAAAAACTTTGAAGCCAGTTACCTGAATTGGCAGAGCATCCATATCAGCTCGAACAGCCACAAAAGGAGGCCCGCCGGTGCCGATCCAAGCCCGAACACCCGTTTTAGCTAAAGGATACCTATATTGGATCCCCATCTTATCCAACTCGTCTCTAACTAACTCACTTGTTTTGACTTCTTCAAAAGCAAGTTCAGGATTCTCGTGAATCTTCCTCCTCACGCTCTTTAACCAAGCAACAGTCTCGGGCCGCCGTGCCAGGGCCAAAACATCTTCCGAGCAGGCCTTGGTCCACACCTCACAGCCGGTTGACGACGGTTTTCTCACCGTGGATTTTGATTGGTTTTTTGGCTTGGAATTCAAGGAATTAGCACTACTTGTCGTACTATCAAAAAACGAATACGAATACTCATTGTTATTGTTACTTGCGATTGTGCTTGTTCTTGACGGAGAAGAAGATGATGATGATGATGAGATGATAGAGTTAAAAGAGATTAAAAGCGAGAGAAAGAGTGTTGAGAGATTTTTGGGAGAATTCATTTTTTTTTTAAGAGAGAGAAAAAGAGAAAGATAAAGTTGGAGAGAGAGAAAATTGAAGGGAGGGTACATGGAGAGAGGAATATTTGAAGGGTATTAGAGCACGTGGGGATAAAGGAAAGAAGAAATAGTGCACGTGAGAGAATATGTAAGGAAAAAACAAGTTGATGAAGGGCGTCGAATCGTTACAGTCGGGGTCCACCACTTTCATGAGTTTGAACAAGGCGGATTATTTTTATTAGTATTTTATTTTATTTACTCTCACAGTCAAATCTCTTGGGTTGGGTAGTTATTAATTAATGTTATTATCTTTTAATCACTTTTTTTTTTCGCGATTGGACCTTTGGAAATGGAATTAGGTTGTCCGTTTTGCATGACGGATAATCAGTTTTTATAATCATATATTATTTTGAATTTATTTTTACAAATTAATTTTTTTTTTTTTTTGCTTTCTCTCATAGTTACTTTAAATTTATTTTTTATAAAAAAATCAATATATCTTTATACATTACACAATTTATCAATTATATTCTTTTATAAAAAAATTAACCAAGTGTAACCTTTAATTTTTTCTTGTTCTCTAATATAAATTTTTTCTGTAAAAATTAATAGTTATGCATGAAACACGTGATAGTTCCATCATAAATTCGTAAAATATCCCTTGAAGTCAATAATAAATACCATTTAAGTATAATGAAATATAAAAAATTAAAATTTATTTGTGCAAAATGTGATAGTTTTAATATGTAACCCGGCTTGCTGAAGTTCGAATCCCCATATCAATGTTTTCCTTTTTCTTTTTCTTTTGTATTTTATTGACTTAAATGGCCATTTTTATTACTTCCTATTGAAATTAATCATGTGTTGTGTATATGACTGTCAATTTTAACAAAATTAATTTTACAAATGGATTATTAAAGAATACAAACAAACTAAATGCTACAATTGGTTGATTTTTTATTGAAAAGTATTTTTGATAAATAGTGAAATGTATAGGGAAATATTGATAGGTTTTTTCTATTTTTTTTAGAAAAAATAAAATAAAACTTTTGATTTTTGTGATCTTGAGATTAAACCTCTAATATTTAGTTTTCCAGCATAGAAAATATGTCCTAAACTGGGTAATGATCATATCTTCACCAATCCAATGAATCACATCGTAACTCTAAAATTAAGCGTTCATGGGTAAGAATAATATTAAAATGGGTGACCTCTTAATAAGTGCGCATGTTTAAGCTATATTTTTTAGAAATTAATATGATTTGAGAGTGATTTTATGGTTTCTCATTTAAAGATTAAAATGCATTCTTTTTTTTCATTGCAAAAGTAATATGATATGAGAGAGCTGTATTCAGTAAATAATATAGATCCAATTCACTAGTAATTTTAAAATAATTTATCAAGAAATTAAATATAAAAGAAGTGGAATTAATAAAGAAACTAAATTGAAGAACTAAGGGTGCAAGTGGCATTAGAGAATTTTACAATGAAAGAAACGGTTTCTTTCTTTGCACTGGCTGGCGTATATATATATAAAGAATTGAAAATTCTTTTATATGCTTGCGCTGACGGATAGGGCTGTAAATGAATTGAACTCAAATCTAATTATACTCTATTCGAATCCGATTGATTTAATGAAGTAGATCAAATATAATCCTATGAATTCGGATTATGTTTTGAAAAATGTAATTTTGGATTCAGATTCTAACGGATTTGGATCGAATTCGGAGCTTTATCGATTTATTACTTGGTTTTTATAAAAAATTTATTCTTACTATATTTAATATATTACTTGAATATAAAATATATTTGAACTGCTACATATATAATAAAAATATATTAAGATAGTATTTCATTCAATAATTTTGTAAAAAATTTCAAAATACCACATAATTCAAAGGCACAAAATTAAACAATCTTAATAAAAAAAATTGAACTAGATATAAAATATGATAAAACTAAAATAAATAAATAATAAATAATTTTTATTTCTTGTCCACGTAGTAGCAAAAATAAAGTGATGAAAAATATGATAACACTAATTCTTGAAAACGTATGTAAGTCAATTTATTTATTTTTTTTCATGAAATTGAATTATGAAAATGACAAAAAAATTGTATTTGATTTTTTAAAAATACGATCGTCACCATGAAAGGATATGCGTTATTTGAAGCTGTATGATAAATAAACTATACATTTCAACTTAGTTTCATACTTATTTTTTTCATGTTTAAATTTTTAATATTTTAAAATTATTATATTTGCTATAAAAATATTATTTTTAATGTTGGATTGGATTATTATGAGATCGGATCAAAATAGATTTGGATTTGATTAATTTAACAAATGAGTTGATGGATTTAGATCATAATCAAACTCGAATATTAAAAAAATAAATTACGAGATCTATCTAGTTACATCGAAATCGTGCTAAGATATGATCTATTTACAACCCTATTGTTAGGAAGAGCAATATTGTTTTGATTCTGCGATTGACATGGCATAAAAGAAAGCAAGAATGTTGTGACAAAATTATTAAGGGTTTTTTTTTTTTTTTTTGTAATTGATTTTTTAGGATACTACGGTTATAAAAAAATTATAGTATTTAGAGTAATGATCTTACGATTTAATAGATTTTAAATTTTGATGATGAGACATATTTAACTAAAGAGATAACTTGTATCACTTGTTAATATTTTTACTCATCAAGTTTACGAAAAAAACTTGAGTGATTATATATATTTTTACTAATCATGTAGTTTTTTTACTTCTACGATAAAGATGGTTTTTCATATAAATTAGATGCTTTTATAATTGTACTTTTATAATTAATTTATTTTATATTTGATTTTGCTTTTCTATATTTATTTTATTTTATTTTTTCCAAAGATAAGAATTTTATCAATAAACTCGGAATATAAAGTGTTATAGCCTCGGATGGCTCACAAGAAAAATAAAGGAAGGATTACATTCAAAGAAAAGAAAAATTAGAAAATTACATGTTACAAGAAAAAATAGCCATAGATTAATCTTAGATCCGGCGGTGGTCGGATCTAAAGGTATAAAATCTCAATTTGAGATTACTGAAAGAAAATTAAAAATTGAAAGAAGAAGGACAAGATGTTATCGTTGCCCATGGCTAAGAAAACCCTCGAAGCTCCCAAAACCCTAAACACAAGACAAAAGAAGAGTTGTTATTGTATTTACAAATTTTGAAAATCATGTATTTAACTCTTATATTTTCATAGTTTTTAATAACTTAATCTTTTATGGGTTTTTCGTTATTAAGATGTTAAGCTATCTTAAATATATATTTTTTCAAAACAATATTCTTCTTTTTCTTTCCCTAATTTTTCTAAAGTTTACAATTTTTTTTGTAAACGTGTTAAATCCGAGGAATAAATTTTCAACAAAAATCAATGACACTAGATTTGTGAAGATAAACAATCAATCTACAAATAATAAATCCTACAAAATCAAAGTTATGTGCAATAATCAAATAAATAAACTCTAAGTTTAGTTGATGTTGACGAGATTAAAAACTTGACTACAACTTTAGCTTGACAATCACCTTTTTTATTGATTTTGGCAACATTTAAATTCCCACTACAATCCCGACTAAATAGTTTAACTTTAGATTATCTTGATTAGATTTAGAACTCTACTGTTATCAAAGAATAATCTCAACCTAAAAATTTAAGCTATTAGGTGAAGCTCTAACAATAGTTTTATATGACATTGTAACACACCTCCCCAAATGAAAGCCTTTTGAATTTAAAACTTACACATACCTATACTATCTTATGCTTAATTAATTAGAAGAGAAATAGAGATAATGATATTTTAGCTTGTGACCACTTAGTCAACAATATTATGATATCATGTAAAAAAATTATCTTAATCCAAAAGTTTAAGTTGTTAAGTGAGGCTCTATGAATGATTTTATATGACTCTTGAACAACTATAACCTTAGTTAATGTTTGATTAACAACACCATCTTAAGCGATCAAATCAAGGATACAAAAAATACAAAACTCTAAGAAAAACACAAGGATAATGGAAGAGATAGTTAGATAATTGAGAGAAACTTTTCAAAAATTTTATTAATCAAAAATCAAAGTTATGTTTTTCCATAATGCACAAGGATGCTTAAATTATAGTCATAAAAATTTAGACGACTAGGAAAATTAATACCCTCACCTATTTGAACTCAATAACTCTAATTCAATGCAAACTTAACAAGAACTTGTTAATCTAGCCTAATTTTAAACAAATATGGACTCTAAAATAAACTTCGACTAACTAAGAAAAATAATACCATAATCTATTTAGACTTAGTAACTTGAATCCAATCCAAACTCAAAGAGGATTAATTAATATAACCCAATCCCAAACAAGTATAGACTTGAAAATAAACTCCCACATGTATAGAACTCCATATAATGATAAAATGTCTAAATAAAATAAATAAACAACGCTAAAATATTTGACCCAAACAAAGACTAAAATTTTTTCCTAGTACAAATAAACCATAGTCTAGTTAGAACGGGCCATGCTTCAGTGTCAATCAAACATGTTCTTCTATCAAGAAACATATTTTATCGATAACAAAACCCATCACAACTACCAATAGCCTTCTCTTTGTGATAAAGAGCTCTTTATACTTGAAAAATCGTAATTTCAAATCCCTTTTTTTTAGTATTTGAACTTATAAAAAGTCTCATTACAAAAGAAAATCAGAATAATTCTTCATACAACTATCCTAGTTATCCATGACTTATCCTTGACACAACAACTATGTAGTCCTTCTTTTAGACTTTTAAGTATATAAACTTATAAAAAGTCCCATTACAACAGCGAGTTAGAAGAACCTATCTTTAATTATCATAACCTCTTTTGAAACAAACACAATAACTATTTAAAGTGATCATATTTTTTTTGTGAACAATTTGTTTTTTTTTTTTTTGTTGATCTATGACGAAAAGCTATATTATTGTTGGTAT